GCTTAATTTACAATCACCAAAATGTGGAAACAGCCTAAATGCCCACCAACCCAGGAATGGATTAACAAGCTGTGGTATATGTATACCATGGAATACTACTCAGCCATTAAAAAAATGGAGACTTTACAGCCTTTGTATTAACCTGGATGGAAGTGGAACACATTATTCTTAGTAAAGCATCAGAAGAATGGGGAAGCATGAACCCTATGTACTCAATTTTGATATGAGGACAATTAATGACAATTAATGACATGGTGGGGGTGGGGGAAGAGGAGAGCACAGAGAGAAAGGAGGGAGGGGAGTGGAGTCTTGGTGAGTGCCACACCTTTGGGGGGCAAGACACGATTGTAAGAGGGACTTTACCTAACAAATGCAATTAGTGTAAACTGGTTTCTTGTACCCTCAATGAATCCCCAACAATAAATTTAAAAAAAAAACAGATTTTTTTTTTTTAAAGATTTTCCATCAAGCATATATAAGATAGTTTAAATACAGGTCTCCAAAGGATGTCATATTCTTATCTCTAAGTACTTTACATCAATTTGTGTCTTATCAGTTCTAGAAAAAAACTAAGGCATAATCTCTTCAAATATTGCCTCTTTTCCAATCTGTTAAGAAGCCATGGTCATTTGCTCTTTTTTATGTGTGGATTTGCTTGAGTTCTTTGCAGATTCTGATTAATGGCCATTTGTTGGATTCACAGCATGGAAATGTCCCAGAGAATCCTACTCTGAACGCTGTCTCTTTGCTTTGTTGATTATGTCTTAGCAGTGCAGAAACTTTTTAACTTGATTAGGTCCCATTTATTTATTTTTGTTGTTGCCATGATTGCCTTTAGTAACTCTTTTATCCTACTTTTAAGAAACATAATGGATATAAAATACTAAACCAACTTGCATTCCTGGGATAAACTTAAGTTGGGCATGATGTATTTTGCTGGATTACATTTAAGGGTTTTTTTATTCTATGCTCACAAAATACATTGGTCAGTAATTTTATTTTCTTACAATTCTTTTATCATATCCTGTTATCAGAGTTAGGTGGTAACTGTGTTAGGAAGATTAAATGAGTTGGGATATATTCTCTCCTGTTTTCTAAAAAGAAAGCAAAGGTAAGATTGTTATTTCTTCTTTAAATGTACCACATAATCAGCCAGTAAAATCATTTGGGCTCTCGTGGGAAGGTCCTTTGTAACAAATACTATTTCCTTAATGAATATCAGGTTATGTAGATTTTCTATTTCATCTTATGCCACTGTGCTAAATTGGATGTTTAAAGAAATTTGTCAGTTTCACAGAAGTTGTCAAGTTTACTGGCATAAAGCCTTTAATGACATCATCCTTTTTAATACTTGCTCCATGGTGATATCTGCTTTCACACTGGACATGGACAGTTTGCATTCTCTTTGATCTAAGTGTCAGCTATCCTTTCATTTTACATGACTATTTGTTTTCTCACTTGTTAGCCTGTTATATGCCTTTCCCATTTTTTTACTGTTAAGTTTGTTACTTACAGACAGAAAAGACTTTTTAAAAAATCTGGGCTGATAATCTCTACCTGTCCATTGACATTTTTTTTTTTTTTGAGACAGAGTTTCATTATGTTGACCTTGATAGAGTTCCCTGTCATCACAGCTCATAGCAACCTCAAACTCTTGGGCTTAAGTGATTCTCCTGCCTCAGCCTCCCAAGTAGCTGGGACTACAGGCACCCACCACAACCCCCAGCTATTTTTTGGTTGCAGTTGTCATTGTTGTTTAGCAGGCCCAGGTTGGGTTCAAATCCGCCAGCCCTGGTGTCTGTGGCCAGGGCCTTAACACTGAGCTACGGGTGCAGAGCCTCCATTGACATTTCTACTGCACTCAGATTCAATGCCATCATTGTACGGTTGGATCTACCACTGTGCTACTGTCTCCTAGTTGTCCCACCTGCTTTTGCTCCTTTGTTCCGCCTTACCTTTTGAATTAACTGAATGTTTTTTAATATGCCACTTCAATTCCTTTATTTTTTAGGTATACCTCTCTGCATTTTTCAGATGTTACTGAGAATTAAAATGTGTCTTTTTAACTTATCAAAGTCTAGAGTTTAAAATAGTACTACTTTACATAAACACAGGATCTTACAACATCATAGTCAGCTCCCTCTGTCCTCTGTGCTATAATACATGTTATGTCAGTACATATCATAAATCCCACAATAGTGTCATAATTTGTGCTTTATACACTCACATCTTTGTACATGAATGCTTATAGCAGCATTACTCATAATCACTATAATGTGGAACCCAAATATCCACAAACTGATGAATAAACAAAATTTGGCATGTCAAAAAAAAAATTTACATCTTTTAAAGATATTATGAGCAAAAATACATAGACACTCATTCACTTACAAGGGGCTACATACTGATAAATCCATCCTAAACTGAAAATATACTTTAGTTCAGGGGTCCTCAAACTTTTTGAACAGGGGGCCAGTTCACTGTCCCTCAGACCATTGGAGGGCCAGACTATAGGCCCCGGGACGAGTCGGCTTCTAAGCAGGACAGGCAGCAGCGGCAAAAATACCCGGCAGGCCAGATAAATGTCCTAGGCAGGCTGCATATGGCCCTAGGACTACGTCCTAGGTGTAGTTTGAGGATGCCTGAGTTTGTCCTCAGATTTTATCTTTCGCTTTTTACTAAACAGAAATTATCGTCAGTCCAAAATGCATTTTGATACACATAACCTAGTGAACATTAGCCTACCTTAAAAATGCATTGAATAGGTAGATTGCTTTGGGAAGTATAGATATTTTAACAACACTTACCTTACCCTAAAGTTGGGCAAAATCATATAACATAAAGCCTATTTTATTTACTTTTTTTAAAATACAAGGTCTTGCTCTGTAGCCCAGGCTAGAGTACCATGATTGCTCATTGTAATCTAAAACTCCTGGCTCAACCAATTCTCCTGCCTCAGCTTCTCAAATAGCTGCACCACCACACCTGGCTAATTTTTCTTTTATTTTTTTGTAGAGATAGTGTCTTGCCATGTTGCCCAGGCTGACCTTGAACTCCCAGCCTCAAGCAATCTTCCCATCTTGCCTCCTAAAGTGCTGGTAAGATTACAGGCATGAGCCACCACACTTGTCCTCAAAGCCTATTTTATAGCAAAATGCTGAATATCTTATGAAATTTACTGAAAACTGTACTGTAAGTTAAAAACAGAACAGCTGTTGGATGCTGGAAGTACAGTGTCTACAGCATGTGTAGGCCTATAGTCCTAACTACTCCAGAAGTTGCAGCAGGCGGATCACTCGAGCTCAGGAATTCAAGGGTATAGTGAGCTGCACCACTGCACTTGAGCCTGGGTGACCAGAGTGAAACCCTGCTCTAAAATAATTTTTAAATAAATAAATAAAATTTAAAAAGACCACTTAGTTTACCAACAAAGAGTGAAATCCTTTACTAAAAATGCTATTATGCTTTATGCATTATTTAACTGTTAGTTTGGTCTTAAATCACATTGCTAAACATACAAACTTACAGAAGTTGTTGCATATGTGAGATGTCAACCTCAATTTTAAGATTGTCTTTATTGTCAGAACACATTTACTTTAAAAATCTCTTAACATGTACCTACTGCTACGTTAAGACAGTGGTCAGAAAGTTCCACTTTTAATAGTTTTTTGGTTCACCACCCTTAGAACACGAATATAGCTCTGGAAGTATCATACCTTATTAAGCAAATACACATGTTTGTTTTTACTAGATTCCTAGTTAGGGATTTTTTTTGTTATGCTATCTTGCAGCTTTGTATAACTGGGTGATTGTTCTAATGCAACACAGACACAAGTTTTTTTGCCTAATTCTGGGAAAAGGAAACCCTCCCAATAATCCACAATTTCTAAGTAAACATGGCATTTATTGATACCTACATGTAGCACACTATCTTAGGTGATGAGTTTCTTTTTCTGTGAGGATAATAGCAGCCCCTACCTCCCAATGTCCTTTAGGATTCAACGAGAAAATGTAGATAAGTTGCTAAATACAATACCCACATCATAAAGATTTTAAAACACAGGTTATTTCACATCCTTCCACTTTCATGTCGTCCTATTTGGTATAAATATTTCCCCTGCTGTTACTGTGCATTTCACTCAATTCATAAATTAACGAAGGAACAGGTTACTCTAGAGACTGTACCTGAAGACAAAGAGCAGCCAGAGATGAATTTCATGCATTAGATAGCCACTCCTCCTCCAAGTTCTTTACCGACTTTTTTTTCCTTTAAAGTTTCTATAGGGCAGCAACTGTGCTTTAAGCATTTCGGTGCAGGACAAATGAAGGGTAGGAAGAACAAATGAATACTATCTTGATTAATGCCTATTCCCCTCATGGTCATTCTCAATAATCAGATGGCGCCTGATGGGAATTTGGAGATCATTCCATACAAACTTTTTTTTTGCAATTTTTTTTTTTTGGCTGGCGCCAGGTTCGAACCCACCACCTCTGGTATATAGGGCCAGCGCCCTACTCCTTTGAGCCATAGGCGCTGCCCTCCACAAAAAAAATTTTTAAGAAGAAAACCGAACCCTAGAATCGATAGGGGACTTAATTACCAGTGACTTTTAATTGCAATCAGGGGTCGGGACCCAAGTCCATGAATTCTCCCTCGAGTTTCTATGAACGCACCACATTTACCTAGGCAGAAAAGGCTTTAAAAATAATAGGGGCGTGTTTTCATCCACTCTGTTTTATCTTCAGCCTGTTAACTTTATTTAGCTTATAAAATCTATCAAAGAACTTGGAGAAACAGAATTAAAGGCAGCGCGGACTATCGGATGAGCCCTGCAGGAGAAGGAGGAGAGGCGGGTTGAGGGCACCAAGCGTGGGAAACTGTCAAGAGAGAAAAGTTAATACTCAGAAAACAAATACGCTATTCGGCCCACATAATATCTACTCTTCTTGCTCTCAGAAGGGCCTCTAAAACAGCAATACCGGGGGGCGGAGATACCTACGGCATTTCGAGATTCAAGGAAGCACCACTGCCGCTGGATGAAGGGAGCTGAGCAACTTCGGAGTCGGAACCTGCGGAGGAGAAACTCTGAAGCCTAAAAAGCGCGGGCGAAAGGGCAGGACGCAGTGTCACACCTGCCGCCGCCCGCCGGAAACACCCTCCTCGCGATAAAGGATCCGAGGGTGTGCGAGGAACAGGGAAGCAGGAAGTCTAGCGTCCTGTTAGTGGCAACACGGGACCCTCTCTCTTTACTCTACCCATAGCAATCCCAGATGGGGAGCAACGAGGCCAACCCTGTGCGCTGTGGGTCGACGACTCCCTAGATTCCCAGCCGGACCGTTTGAGGGAGGTGCTCCGTTTCTTATTTCCGGCGGCGGCGAAGGGCGGTTGCTATGGTAATTAGAGCACGACAGATGTCGGTCCCGCGGCGGAGAGAGGGTCGCCGAGTCGCTGCGGAGAATTGGCTGCGCCTCCGGGTTTGTGAGCTGGAATTGGGCAGCGCGCAGCTCGCTGTCGCCGTCCCCGTTCCTCTCTCGCTGTGCCGCGGCCTCTTCTCTCCCTGCTTCTCTCATTTCTCTGCGTGAACAGTCGGTCCGCGCGTGCACGCCAAATGTACATATTAATGCAGGTTTATTTCCAGAGCAAGGCAAAGACAGGGAGCTGTTGCCCGAATCACCTGTGAACGTATTTCACGGTGTCGGGACAGTTACCGCATGGCCCTCTGCTTTCGCTCGGCCTTTTGGGCGCTTGGTAACAGTTTATTTTTCTTGCTATTGTGTGGCTGGTTATTTATGGAGCCGTTTGCTGCAATCTACTCTCTAGGCCCCTGTCTCCGTCTCGGGCTGGAGTTTTAAATAAAGGAGGTTTCCAAGCCTGAGGGTGCAGTTACATATTTATTTAAGCTTCAGTTTAGTCTCTCGTTGCAAAAAAAGGAAAGAATAGAGTTCTGGTACATTTCTGCCTTGGGATTTCCACGTGAAGGAGTCACCTTATTTAGAAAGAGTCTGTAAGAACGATCTTAAAAATACTTACATTTTAAAATGGCTTGCTACAAAGTGAACATTCATTTTCCCTGCCTCGAAACAGTTTTCTTTCACATTTGTGAGGAGATGCGTGGACGCATATGTGTTTAAAACTCTGATGTTTAATTATAGTGATACCAATTTGCAGTAACCAGACTGTGACACCACATCCCTGTGGGGTCCTTCTAAATCTGGTGTAATAGGAAAGTGTCAGGCAGGCGTCTGTATATTATAAATAGGGTACTTCATCCATGATAAGCGATTATTATCTTTCTTTCCCAAGTGTAAAAGACCTGTATAATTCAAGAAGGTACAAGTGATTTAGGCCTCCTGAATCAGAATCCAATGAGTCCTGAAGGGGACCCTACCTGTGTCATCTTATTGTTGAACTTGAAATATTCAGTTTATGAGGTTGGAATGTATTTTCAGAAGTCAAACCCAGGTAAAGTAATGTAAGAAGCTGTTAGACCACCAGCACGATTTAGTACCTCATAGTAACTATTGCTCCGTAAACATTCATCCATATTAACAAGGAAGAAACTGTTACCAAGTGTGTTACCACTTACTACCAGCTCAGTGGCACCTCTGTCCCTCCAATTTCCCCATCTGTAAAACGGACCGCTTTACAGAAGGGATAAGACAAAAATGCATGAAAATTGTTTAAGCTCTTAGCAGAGATGCTATATAAGCCCCAAATATTCTTATTAATAAAGAAAATAATAGTGCTTAGAAATGGGACTTTTAAAATTCAGTTATTGGAAATGTGAGGCTCCGTTACTGAGATGTTAATGAAACCTCATTGATCCTGCTGGGGAGGATGGGTGTCAGCTACCAGTCATATCCAAATTCTCATTATTGTGCTGTTTCACACTCTCTACAGTTTATTTAGCAGTTACTGTGTACCAGGCAATGTTCTATATGCTCCACACGTGCTAACTGATTTAATCCTCTTAACAACCCTATGAAGAGTCTTCTCTTATTTTGAGAGAATAGATAATGCACTTTGCCTTTGTCCTGTGATGGTTCTTTTGTATTATTTCTTTGTTCTTTGGCCATTATCACATACTTAAAAAATAACTAGATTCACATATATGTCTATATGCATATATGTAATTAGAAATCAACAAGGCTGTGTCCACATACATGCTACAATGTTCATCTTCTTTTTCCATCTGTGTGTTATAATTTTCATCCTTTTTGTCTACATTTAAAAAGTAGACAAAAAGATTCTGCCCCCTCCCATTTGAAAGACGTGATGTTATTTGCATTTTAGGTGACTAACATTGACTAAAACAATGTTTAAAATTATTTTCTCATAGAATGGCTATCAGTCTAGGAAGCGATGCAGGTTTTTCCGGTCAGAAATCAACATTTTCAGAGGGTCCTCGAACAAAGAAATCTCCACTAACCGAAGAGGAGATATTTTATATGAATTGTAGAGCTGCCTACTTAACTGTCTTCAAAAGCAGTTTAGAAAACATTTTTTCTAAGGATCAACTTTACTTAGGTAAAATTTAAAAATTTTGAATATTTTGCCTTTTTGTTGAAAGTTAATAGTCAGAAAGACTGGAATTAGAATTACATTGTTGAATCATCCCAATTTCTTAGAAAAACTTGAGCAATGGAACTCTAGTAAGGTATTATGCCAGTTTCTATAGTTACATATTCTACGAACTTCAAAATAAAGCTTTCAATGTTTATTACAGACTAGATTGGTAATCTAAAACTTCCATCAGTTACTACTTAAAAATATTTTAAAATTCTCCTTTTAGTGCCTTTAAGATTTATAATAATAGAATTAAAATACTTAATTCTAAGTCACTATCGGAATTTCACCTATTTTGAGGAAAATGTGAAGAATATATAAAGTGGGTGTAATATAAAAGTGGAGGATTGGGAGATAAGTGAAATATTTTTTTAAAAAGAATTAAGAGTTCTCGGGGTTTTACTGTTTTTTTGTTTGTTTGTTTGTTTGTTTTTTGTCTTTTATTGCTTCTTTCCAATATCACATTTTAATATTCCTCTGGTAGCAAATGTCCCCCAAACCACTGGATTTGGTCCTTGCCAAGGACACCAAATGATTTAAAGGTCTTCGGTTATTAAAAAGTGATAAACATCAATATCAGGTTAACACTGATTATTCATGTCACTTTCATGAAAACTGGTAACTTTATGGATAAAGAAACTGAGTTATTTTGCCAACTTTAGAAGCAGTTTTTTTAAACCCAAATTCCGACATATTTTTGTATCAGTGTTTTTGGATTTATAAGCAGTAAGTTCTCTATTTTAGGAAAGCCGTTTTGGGAACATGAACATTGAAGAGATTAAAATGTATTTGATGTCTAATAAAAGACATTATTTGTAAAATAGTTTAAACACAAATCCAGTGGCTGAAGTGATTTTTAAAGTCGTGTTCAATTTTACATCAAATTACATAATTTAAAAAATTTGTAAAATCTTCCGTTTTGCATTTTACATATGAGTGTTTAATCATACACATTAAATGGTATGGCAGAAATCCAATTAAAATTACATCTAATTTTCCATCACTTCTAAAATAGCTGAGTTTTTTTTTCTTTATTTTTGTGAAAATATACTGAGATAAGAAATATAAGTTTCCAATTTAGCATGCTTTACATGACTGTGAAGGAAACTGTGTGTGTTATCAAGGTGCTCTCAGCTGATGAAATTTTGTGGGAGGGTAATACTGCAATGTTTGTCTCTTTGGTGTTATGTATACTTTTGATTTTATGGTAAAATATTCTTTGTAACATTGTAATAATTGACTCCTGAGAATCTACTTTTTTAAAAGAAATAATGTGAACCTGTGCCATCTCTTTCTACTATGTCTTTCATCTGTATCCTGCCACTTAATGTACATAAACGTGCTGTGACGTTTCCATTTTAGGAGTGGATAAAGCAATAGTATTGCCACAGTTTTAGAGTTTTAGAGTTCCTTTTTTGTCAATTTATAAATAATACAGGTGTTATGGACTCTGGTAAACCTCAGAATAAACCCTGGCAAGTATCTTGTTAACTTTTAAAGTTCTGCAGTTACAAAATGTTTTTGCTAGTATCAGACTTAATGTTGCTCCAACTAATTCTGAACCTACAGATCAAAATTAGTTGTTAGGAAATAGATTGTATCAGTTTTTTAGATATGGTAATGTCTACTAACTGAGTACATATTTTGGTATAATTAATTTTATTCTAAGGAAGTTCTTTTGTAATTAAAAGCACATTTTTAAGAACAATATTTTCTTTGTTACTGAAGATAGCAAGCATATGTATGCTTTAGCTGCCCCAACTTGTGGGAAAGAGTTACACACCTTTTTTTTTCCTCTTTATTTATATGTCCTAACTTGTTTTACATACCTATTTTCTCAAAACTGGACAAAAATTAAGATTTTCCTTACTATAGATTTTTGGCCTTCAAATTACAAATTCATTAGATTCTACTTTTATTCCCAGCTTTTAAAGAGTGTGAGTTGGCCAGGATTGGAATCCTAAAACATGTATGCCATTTCTCTGATTCTATTAATAAATGAATTAAGGAATTATCTATTTTCATACTCAATAAAATACATTTTGTTCCTAGGACAGTATGGTAATCAGGGCTTTTGTTAAAATCATGGAAGATTCTTTTTTTTTTTTTTACATTTTTTAACTTATTTTTTTTTCCATTTTTATTTGGCCAGGGCTGGGTTTGAACCCACCACCTCTAGCATATGGGTCTGGCGCCTTACTCTTTGAGCCACAGGAGCCGCCCGGAAGATTCTTTTTTAATTATTTTATCTCCAATGCTGCCACAGAGGACTCCACTTTTTTGCCTTTCACAGATAGAAGAACATGGTTAATTAATTAAGAGTAGTTTGACCAATTTGTCTCCATGATAGTCTTCTCTCGAAGTATGTCGACATTCTTGATTTTTATCAGGGCTGTAATTGCAAGTGGCTACTTTTTGTGCGTGTACTGGACATTTGGAATATGATTAATATTTTTTAAAGCCACTACCCAGCAGTGCTGAGTGTGTCCCTTGTTGACATCAATATTCTCAAATGAATGGTTTCCTTACTCCAGTTTGGGTTTTTTTTTTAATTGATGCATTATAATTATCCATATTTATGGGGTGCAATTTGATGTTTTAATAGATATAAATGTTGTGTTTTATATCCATCACATCAAGTATTTACCATTTCTTTTTGGAAAGAACATTCAGAGCCTCTCATCTAGCTGTTTTATAATGCTCAGTGCCTCACTGTTCACCCCAGTCGCCCCACTGTGCAAGGCAACACCAGAACCCATTACTTGCCATCTAATTGCAACTTTATACCCATCGCCCAGCCGCTCCCCATTTTCGCCTTCCTGTCCCCTCTCTAGTCTCTCTTAACCACAGTTCTACTCTCTGCTTCTGTGGTCAGAACTGTCTTTATTTAGACTCCTTACGTGTGTGAGATCGTGTGGTGTTTGTCTTTCTGTGCTTGGCTTATTTCACTTAAGATGTTGTCCTCCAGGTTCATCTGTGTTGTTACAAATGGCAGAATTTCATTCCTTTTTATAGCTGAACTGTCATTACGGTATTTGCTCAGCCAGAAAAAGTGATAATTTAGGTAATTTATGCTTTTTGCAGTTAGCTTTATGTCATTAAATGTATTAAATAGATGATTGTTTTTAAATTTTTTTCCTTTAAAAGCTCTTAAGTAAATCAGGTATTATCAGTTATTTAAGCCATGTAGGTTAAGAACCAAATGTGAGAATAGGAGAAATGTATTTAATTCTGGCATTAGTAATCCAAAAATCTTTAGCTGGAGGCATATATGTTTTTGTTTTTCAGAGTCAGGCATGCATTGACATCACTAAACAATTGGCATGTAGGTAATGCATTGGTGTATTTACAGCATATTTGTTTAATATCATAATACATAATGATTTTAAGAGAAGTGCAGTTAAATGTGAACTCCAGGTATTACAATAACAAACAATACTTGTGTTGTTGGGCAGCTCTTCAGCATGCAGGAAGAAGTCCATCCCAAAAGATGCTTAGTAAATACTGGACTCCACAAACTACCAAACTGAATTTCGATGATTTTTGTATGATTTTAAGGAATGAAAAACCTACTTCAAAAGCAGAACTGTTAAAATCATTTAAGCAATTAGATGTAAATGATGAAGGCTCTATATCACACACTGACCTTTATAAATTTCTAACAAAGGTAAGATCTGTGAAACCGTTTTGTAATACGTACATTTTGCAAAACAGCTTAGAATCTAGTTTTGGTTACTGAAGTTCACATTAAACATAACTATTTCATGGGCAGGTGAAATGAATCAGATACATGTTATTTATAAAGTACTTATCTTTCTGAATGAAAGGTGCTTTGTAAATAAAAGATTAAAGTATAAAATTGAGCCTATGTTAAAATCCCTTTGTGTCCTGTGCAATTCCTTCCTGCCCAGAACTCTTTGAAAATCAGTGATAGGGAAAAAAAAAAAATCAGTGATAGGTCCATCAGTGATAAATAAAAGGAAAACAAAGTATAAATGGGATTAGGAATCATTCTGTTTCTTGGAACAATGTGAGAAAATATCATTACTCTAAATTCAATAGCAGTTATTACAGACTCTGTGATCCACTTATGAGAATCCAGCACACTTTCACAATATTTAATAAATTATAAAATTTTATTTTATATAAGTGTCCTTCTTGCTTGACATTAATGCTCATTATGAGTTATAAGGAAACCATATAGTCAAATTTACTTGTAGAAAAGATTAAAATGTGTCTCTACTACCCTGTGAATAACCAAGTGGTAATGATGTTGCTTTAAAATCTTTTTTTTCCAGAGAGGTGAGAAGATGACTAGAGAAGAAGTAAACGCCGTAATAAATTTGGCTGATGTAAATGCTGATGGCAAATTTGACTACATCAAGGTACATAATTTATTTCCCTTTCCCCCAGTTTTATTAAGGTATAATTGACAGACAAAAATTGTGTGTATTTATGATATACACATAATGTGTTGAGATATATATATATATATTTGCATTGTGAAGTGGTTAAATTAAGATAATTAACATGTCAGAAAAGTATTTTTAAAGGGACACATCTTTTTGATATTGACAGCGATGTACTTATATACTCATTGTACTTGAAATTTAATCTCTCGAGTCTCAAAATTGTAATCTGATGACTACATTAAAAAATGATATAACCAAGTTAAAATCTGTGTGCTCATACATACAGACAGACATACGTACAAACATAGAGACTCCCCTCACAAATGTACCTTTTCTAGGATGAAAGAATCATAAAAATTATTTAGAACAAACGCAAGTCTACACGTCTAGTAAAAAAATAATAAATCACCTCTCCTTGTGTAGCATTTTATTTTCACTCACAGTATGACCTCCTCATTGAATCATGGCTGCATTTCCCTAGGTCACTCGAGGCTGGTCAGTCTGATTCAGGAAAATAAAATGAGTAACCAAGCACAGTAGGAAATGTTCCCTCTATCAGGCTATCCCTTGCCTACTAATGTGCATTTGCCTTCTCCTCCTCCTGAATGTATGATTGAATGTTTTACCCACTGGACTACTTTTTATTTCACATAGTTTTGTAAATTATATATGACGACCAATGAGCAGTGTCTCAAGACTACACTAGAAAAACTGGAGATTGACAATAAACTGAGGCGTCAGCAGTTTGGAAGCCACATGGAAGGGTACCCTGAAAGAGACCCATCACCAGTGCCAAAGCCATCACCTAGACTCATAAGAAAAGGTGATGAGGAGACATTCTCAAGTAAAGGTATTTACATTAACACCAAGAACGTCTTGATCAGGAATGAAGGGTCATGTTCAGATACCTTTTCCCTCCTATCTCAACTTATCAGTGATAAAACAAATGAGAATCTAACTTCTGTTAGCTACCATTTTTAGACTCTCTTAGCTGTAAAATCTATTGGAGTAAAATTTTATTATAGAACCTGACTTGGCTATGCTCATTGTATTTTATTAAAACTAAAATTTCAGATTAAAAAGGTGACATATTGAAATAAGGAATCTTATTAGTAGCCCATAAGTTAGGGATCATTAAAGCCTGATAAATATAAAACTTCTGACTTTATTCAGTAGGAAGAAGAAAGAGTGAAAGTAATACAATGAACCTTTTATACTACATTGTGTTTATTATTATTATTATTATTTTTGAGACGGAGTCTCACTTTGCCACCCCCGATAGAGTGCCATGGTGTCATAGCTCACAGCAACCTCAGACTTTTGGGCAATTCTCTTGCCTCAGTCTCCCAAGTAGCTGAGACTATAGGCACTTGCCACAATGCCCAGCTATTTTTTTTTTTTTTAGAGATGGGGTCTTGCTCTAGCTCCGGCTGGTCTTGAACTTGTGAGCTTAGGCCATCTGCCCACCTTAGCCTCCCAGAGTGCATTGTGTTTAGAAATGAACTAGTGACAACTTTTTATAATGGGAGACCAAATAACCATGACTTATTACAGGTGACACCAGGAATTCTTTACTGTCAACAACCAGAAAGTTCAAAACATCTGTTTCCTTCACAATTACCATGAGTGCTAACAGTAACCGAAACGCAAAGTTAACGGAGCCAAACTTAATAAAGGTATAGTATTTTAAATTCATAGATACGACTTTTTCTATTCAGTGCCTACAGAAACAGTAAAGTTTGCAAAGTAATTCTCTGAAACCTTTTGGATTTAGAATACTGTGGAACGCAGCATTTCCACCTGTGAGCCAGTGCATACATGTTGAATGAGAATGTTATTTTAAGGTCTTGAGTAGAAAAATGATGACTCAAATTTTTGAACTTGAGTAGATTCTCTAATTATATACCTGGGTAAGCAAGTTTTTTGTTTTGTTGAACAAATACTTTCAGTTCATGTTTCTTATAAGTAAGTCATTCATTCAATATCAGTTCCTATGAGAGAAAGACAACAAAGTCACTTTGCTAAGTCAATGTTTGTAGAGTGTTAATATTGATCTTCTTTCTTTGTTTTTCCTTTCTAGACTCAGCCTTTACTAGTTTTCTTTCAACAGAAAATAATAGCTACAGAAATATAAAACATTAACTGGAAACTGCTAGGATACATTAAAAATGTGCACCTAGAGACCTCTGTAAAAGGGGAAAAAATGGTTATGACCACACACTATAACTGCTGTTAGAATACTGAACTGATTGTTCTCAAGAGCCCCATTTCTGTTTCAAATAACAACTCTGTATTTGTTATTGAACTCTGAAGTCCCTTATATCTTTAAATTGCTAGACAGTGACATTTGTTCTATATTAAAATTTTAAAACATTATCTCCAAGGAATTTTGTTCAGACTGTTTAGGAATCTGTACACCCTAAGCAATTTGGTGTGCACGTCCAACATGTTCACAAACAATATTTAGTGTTCCGACAATATTATTTCCCAACGTGGAAGCTTTTTCTATTTTGCAATTAACTTAATTGTTAATAAAATTAACATAGAAACAGTAGAACCTCCATAGCTGACCACCTCCCTGCGTTGGCCACCTCCTTAAGTTGAAGTAATTTCCATAGACTGGACATGCACCACATGCACATGTCCACACAGCAGGCCTGCTTCCTTGTGTTGACCACCTCCGTGTGTCCATCAGATTGTTAGTGCCTCTTTGGGTGGTCAACTTAAGAGATTCTACTATATTTATGGTTTACCTGATTCGAAAGTATAGGTAAACATAATTTTAGCCAGTGTAAAGAGAAATATAAATAAATATTAATATGGATTACATGAAGTCACAATAAGATCTTTTATCTGTGTCATTAATTGGGCCAATTTTGTAAGTTTAGTTCAATTCACCAAATATTTACTAAGCAGGCAACGTATGCCAGCTATTTTGCTTAGTGTAGAATATGGGCCTTGAATTAAAAATAGAAATTTTCATTTTATTATTAACAGTACACTAAGGTAGTACAGCATAATGATTCATTTATTCAATAAGTATTTATTGAATGACTGCTCTGTGCCAAGATATGTCCCAGATGTTGGTGAAGAGCTTTGGATAGAGACAGACCTGAGCTTGGTCACTTAATATCTGTTCAGCTTTGGGTAAGTCAGTCAGCATCCATTCTAGGTCTCAGTTTTCTTGTCTATAAATTGGAAATAATTAACTTAGTGTGTTTTTAGAATGATTTGAGTCATCTAAGTAAAACACTTAACACAGGGACAGGGACATAGTATTAGCTTTAACAGTAACCTGGTTCTCTGTATCCTCAATGAATCCCCAACAATAATAATAAAAGAAAAGTTCTATATCTATCTGAGACATCAAGAGTAGGGTGCGGATAGTAACTGGCAATTAGGTAAAAGTTCCTAAGATAATTTAATGAGTAAAGGAAGATGGAATACTGTTAACTTTCTAATTGTGTGACTCATATAAAATTTAATGTCTTTTGGAAATATTTGATACCTCTTTTTTTTTTTTCTGAAGAGGAAGTCTCACTTTGTTGCCCAGGCTGGAAGGCAATGGTGCAATCACAGCTCACTGCAGCCTGAATCTCCGGGGCTTAATCTCTCTATCCTCCTGCCTTCTTATCCTTGCGAGCATCAGGGACTATAGACGCATACCCCCATACCCAGCTAAGTTTTTTATTTTGGGTAGAGACAGAGTCTTGCTATGTTCCCCATGCTGGTCTCGAACTCCTGGCCTCAAGCCATCTGCTTGCCTTGGCCTCCCACAGTACTGGGATTACAGGTGTGATACACCATGACCAGTGTGATGACTCTGTATTTTAATACTCTGTTTCTGCTTTTGATACTGCCTACTGTTGCTTACTGTCTTTTCTTTCCTAGGTGAGCTGAAAGCAGCATACCTAGCAGCATTCAGTTCTTTGTTTGCATTTTTTGGGGGGGGGTGGATTTCATGATAATTAGTCTTTTTTTTTTTTTATTGTTTGAGATTCATTGAGGGTACAAAGCATTAGGTTACACTGATTGCATTTGTTAGGTAAAGTCCCTCTTATAATTGTGTCCTGCCCCCAACAGGTGTGCTGTGCACTGTGACCCCCAGTCCCCTATCTCCTTCTCTCTCCCTGCTCCCTAATTCCTCTGCCCCCCACCTTGCATTAGATCATCTACTTTCTCGATATTAGAATTCTTTGTTTGCATTTTACTTTTTGCGGGGGGTTGGGGGGCGGAATGTTGAGGGAGGGTTCCAGTAAAAACCAGAAAACTTGCTAGACAAATTCTGAAGGAGCTGTAACACTTGAAGTTATTTTTAAAATTTTTGTAAATTTTATACATTTCTGAAGTTTCATAACCACTCTGAGAAGTGGTTAGTTATTCAATACAGAATAAATTACTAAAAGGATTATTAAATTAATTTTCTTCAAATGCTTTAAATCAATTTTAAACAAATTTGGATACCCCAGTTTCATGTGGAATAAAGAAGTATGGAATTGGGATAGAGAAGGAGAGACTTTTCAAAAATTAGAAAATTATATCGTAAGCATAAGACCATAAATGCATAAACCATAAATCCACACAGTTGGTAAAGGTTTTGAATTACAGGAGGAAGTAAGATCCTGTAGGCATGTGTATGTGTATGTTACTTTCTCTTGGCCATACTTAGGGTACTGTATTACTATTTGTTTTTTAATCTTCAGTTCTATCCACTTGCTTAGGCTCTGTAATGATCAAGGAATGTCAGGAATTCTCCTTGGAGAGAGGAATAACTTCTACTTCCTTGCTAAAGCCAGTCATGACTAGAATTAGAATAAGCCCCAGAGCATCAGGTGTAAACTCCAGAGATGTGATACTTCTGTAGCCAGAATCCTAATTAGAATAGACTCACAGATATATTTTATGCATGTATGCCGTACAACATAGACACAGGTCGCATGATGCACAGTCTCTATGTTATAAATGTCTCTGTACATACAGTGTACAGCATCTATGCTGCATACCATAAATATGTTAACATATAACAATACAAATACAAACATTTAAAGCACAAAATGGTTCATTGTTAATTTTTATGAAAGCTTCAAATAATAATTTTGCTACAGTAGTTTCTCACATTTTCAAAATGTTGATCAATTCAACCAGTCACTTAGATGGGAATCCACATCAGTTTTTCCTTTGGTAAACCATCTACTAAACCTTTTGTTTTTAGTTATGTATAGTTTATAATTCTTTAATAACAAAAAATTCAGTAACCATGGGTTTACTTACTTATACCAAAAAGCAAATTGCTCTCTAGTAAGTATGTGACATAGGATATCTTTATTAAAAAACGACAGTGATGATGATGGTGATGGTGATACAAGTGCCTAATCTAATATCTATGGATGTTCTACTGCTTGATTATTCTCCTTCCTTAAAATTTTAGTAAAAATATGAAATTTGGGCTCGGCGCCTATAGCTCAATCGGCTAAGGCGCCAGCCACGTACACCTAAGGTGGTGGGTTCGAATCCCCAGCCCGGACCCGCCAAACAACAATGACGGCTGCAACCAAAAAATAGCCGGGCGTTGTGGCGGGCGCCTGTGGTCCCAGCTACTTGGGAGGCGGAGGCAGGAGACTCGCCTGAGCCCAGGAGTTGGAGGTTGCTGTGAGCTGTAATGCCACGGCCCTCTACCCAGGGGGATAGCTTGAGGCTCTGTCTCAAAAAAAAAAAAAAAAATATGAAATTTGTACATCAAATCAAGAAAAATGTAACGATACAGTTTTTTTGGTAGCTAGAATTTTCTGCTTTTATATTTGTAATTTGTGTTTTTCAACATTTCCTTAAATATTATGAATAAAAATAAGCAAGTTTTTTTTTCATGATTGTATGAAGTCAACTTTTTTTTAAATTATTAAATGATAGCTGTATGCATTAATGCAAATATAGGGTACAGTGTAGTGTTTTCATATACAATTTGAAATATTTTCATCAAACTGGTTAACATAGACTTTGTGTCATTTACTTAGTTATTGTGTTAAAATATTTATGCTCTAGTTCTAGAAAAGTTCACTTGTACCTTTGTTAGACAGACCATATAGGTGACCACCACGGGCGGCCTTCTCCCCTCCCCATATTCTTAGGCTAGAATTAGGTTGTAGCTTTCGTTTGAGATCTATAAATTAGTAGTTAACAGTTCTGTTTGGATTCATATGAATTTACCTGAACTGGTTGAATATAGCACCACCTCATGTCCTATATGAGAATTACAAGCTATTTTATTTCTACTTTACAGTCTCAAAAAATTGTATCATACATACACTTTTTTACTCTAGCATTCTAAAATTGTTTTCCAAACTCAGCCAATTTCTCAGTAATTTTATCTCTTAATTCATAACATTTTAATATGGGTCCTAGAGAAAAAGCTTTGTGTGATTAAATTTTTGTTTTAAAGTAAATTTTAGGTTGAAAAAGCATTGTGTGTTTAATAACTCGGCAGATATTACGAAATTAAATGCTTCCTTTTAAACAGTAGAGCTACAGATTCTCCTAGTACTATTATTTGGCAGTTAAAATCATTTGATTATTCTACTGAAGTTTGGTCATACTTCTGTTTTATAATAGCTGTTATTCTACCATTTCCTAGGCTTATTAATCCATGTAAAATGTTGTAGTATGAAATTTAGCTGTCTTT